GGGTAGTGAAGGGCGGGGTATAAATCCAATCTCTTGTCTTCTTCTCCTCCTCTGCAGTATATGCTATTGCAGAGCAAGTGGAGAGACAAGCCTCCAGCTATAAGAAAGAGTGGTGGCAGCTTATTTCCCCTGTTCTCCTGTATGATGTAAGCTCAGAACTTGACGGGCAGCTGGATTTGATCGGTGGCATTCTGCCCCCTGTAGCCATCAGTGGTTAGACGGCTTCTGTGGTTTGATTACATGGGAATAGACTTTAGTGTGAGGAACGGCGAGGAAGGATGAGAGGGGTAGATAAGACTCAGATAGATCTTGGCAATCAGGAGAAACCATCTAGCATTGCAGATAGCACTTGGCCAGGTGAATGTTAGGGAGTTTCCTAGAGGGAGGGAGAGCCAGTTTGGTGTGAGAGCCAGTTTGGTGCAGTGGTTAAGTGCGCGGACTCTAATCTGGGAGAACCGGGTTTGATTCCCCACTCCTCCACTTGCACCTGCTGGATGACCTTGGGCAAGCCATAGTTCTGTCAGAGGTGTCCGTGAAAAAGAGTAGTTTCTGTTGGAGGTCTCTCAGCCCCACCTACCTCACAGGGTGTCTGTTGTGGAGAGCGGAAGGGAAAGGAGTTTGTAAGCCACTCTGAGACACCTTTGGGTGGTGAAGGGCGGGGTATAAATCCAATCTCCTCCTCTTCTTCTTCTGATATTGGGGCCGGGGCCACAGTATTGGGAGGCGGCACCCTGATAGAAAGCCTGGCAGAAGAGCTCCGTCTTGCAGGCCCTGTAAAAGGTCCCACAGGGCCCTGGTGTCATCCAGGAGCTCATTCCACCAGTATGGGGCTGCCGCAGAAAAGGTCCTGGCCCTTGTCACAGCTAACCTGGGTTCTTTAGGGCCTGGAAGGGCCAGACGGTTTTGGGACCCCGATCTTAGTGGTCTCTGGGGGAAGATATGGGGAAAGGTGGTCCCTTAGGTAAGTAGGTCCCTGACCATATAGGGCTTTAAAGGTAAGAACCAGCACCTTGAACCGAATCCGGTATGCTATAGGCAGCCAGTGCAGTGCTTTTAGGGCAGGCTGGATGTGCTCCCGCATAGGGAGACACAACAGCAGCCTCGCCGCTGCATTCTGCACCCGCTGCAGCTTCCGGATTTGGGACAAAGGCAGCCCCGTGTAGAGAGCATTACAGTTATCCTATCTTGAGGTGACCATTGCGTGGATCACTGTTGCCAGGTCATTGCGTTCAAGGACGGGAACCAACTGCTTAATCAGCCCCAGATGGTAAAAGGCAGACTTTGCAGTGGCTGCTACCTGGGCCTCCATTGTTAAGGAGGCATCCAAGAGCACTCCCAAGCTCCTAACCTCCGCCGCTGGCACCAACGGTGCACCATCAAAGGTCCCCCATCAAAGGTCGAGAGTGGGATCCCTAGCTTTGCCCCTCTCCAGCTCAGGCACAGGACCTCCATCTTTGTCAGATTCCATTTCGGTTGACTCAGCCTAAGCCAACCAACCGCAGCTTTCAGCGCCAGGTCCAGATCTCCTGGACTAGAGTCTGACTGGCTGTCCAATGACAGATAGAGCTGGGTGTCATCCGCATATTGGTGACAACCCAGTCCGTGACTCCAGGCAATCAGGGCAAGGGTGCGCATATAGATGTTGAATAACATTGGGGAAAGCACCACTGCTTGGGGCACCCCGCAAATTAGTGGGTGCCTTCCGGATAGCTGTTCCCCAACAACCACCCAGGGAAAGAAACCTCTTAGGTGTCAAGGCCCCAGGACCATGTGCAAGTCCTTGTCATTTGGGGCACAGAAAGACACGACAAAGACCATGGTAAATTGAACATGCATCTGCACTTTGGATCTGCACCGCATGGCAGGAAAGCTGATCAGGGGCTTGATGAGGGTTAATCCTAAGTGGAGCAGTCTAATGTTGTAGTGAGGGGACACGGTGGCTTAGAGGTTAAGACGCTGAGATGCAGACCAGAAGGTCCGTAGTTCGGCAGTTCAAGACCCGGGTGCCGCATGATGGAGTGAGCTCCCATCTCTAGTTCCAGCTCCTGCCAACCTAGCAGTTTGAAAGCAAGACATTGCAAGTAGGTAAATAGGTACAGCTTCAGTGGGAAGGTAACAGCGTTCCATGCGCCTCGGTGTTTCGTCATGCCGGCCACATGACCACGGAAACGTCTTTGGACAGCATTGGCTCTTTGGCTTGGAAACGGAGATGACCACCGCCCCCTAGAGTCGGGTTTGACTAGCTTTCGAGCAAGGGGAACCTTTAAATGGTTTTAATTATGTTTTATATTGGCGTTTGCCCCTATGTAAGTCGCCCTGAGCCCGCATTGCGGGGAAGGCGGGGTATAAATTGAATTAAATAAATAAATAAAAAGAAATAAATAAATTTACCTTTAACCTTTTAATGTTGTAGCAGAATGGTTGCCTAAGCAGGAGTGGACTGGGAAGTAAGTGCAGATGGTCCTGGGGTTAGCCAAACTGGGCAGCCCCTGTGGCATCACGAGCCAGTTCTACAAGGGCCACTCAGCTGAGGGGCACCAGCAATGGGCATTAGCTTATCTGTTGCTTCCTCCTCCAAACAGTGCGGGAGACGACAGCTGCTGAGCTGCCTCCAACTGCTATTGGTGGTGAAAAGTCTGAATCAAGTGGCCCCTAAGGCAGAATTGCTGTGGCATGGCTCTGTTTGCTTCTGGCCACCACTATCCCCCCCCCCAAGGTAGAGGGCCACTGAAAATTTCTCTGAAAGTGATATTGGCCAGTCTGTCTCTGCTCTCTAGTGCTAGTTGCAGAAAGCCACTCACCCATCCTTGGACTTGAGTGATACAGAGGTAGATACCCTAAGTGTTGGACTTGGGGTTAGGGATCTAGGGATAGCCCAGCAATTTTTTGCATGATCAGCCCTTTGGTGGGTAGTATTGTAGGATTCTGGGTGGCCAAATCCTGAGAAGAATCACATACTGCCCAGGTAAAAGAAGATTGACAGGGGAAAGTGTGCAGGCCAGGACAATTTTTTAATCATTTGGCTCTTGCCTTCCTTGTTTTTTTCAGGGACCTCCTGGCCCTCATGGGAATCCTGGACGCCCTGGTCCACCTGGCCTTAAGGTAAGTGAGGCATGGGGGTTAAGGCCAGGGGGTGTTGATATTAGGGCTGCCGGATCTCCTGCGCAGCAGCTTTTATTCTCTGCCCTTGCTTAGTAGGGCGCTGGGGGAAGACCGGTGTCGCTTCAATACCACAACATCCCTTCTGGTGTGAACCCAACACTGATGCCAGTGGCATTGGAATGACACTCTAGGATCCCTCCAAGGCTCTGTGGTAAAACTGTAGTGCTTCAGGGAATCCTGCAGTGGTGCTCTGATGGGATGTCACTTCTGGGTTTGCGCCAGAAGTGGTGTTGCAGCACCAGAGTGACGCCAGTTGATGTGTCCTTGCCCACCCGTCCCGCCCACCCAAGCTCCTGCTGGTTGCCTTTCCTGGGTTGGCAGCCTTAGGTGACCTTAGAAAGGCAACTTCCAGAGATGTTACACTTCTAGTTACCCAGTGCTGGGAATTAGTTGCCAAGGAGGAATATTGGCCCTGTGCCTTCTCGTGAGGCTTCAGCCCGGCTGCCACCAGAAACATAGGTTTGTGTGTTTTTTTGAAACCCCGAAGGGTATTTTTATTGTTTTTCAATAGACTACAAAACTACAAAGAAAAAATTGGGAAGGGACTACATCTATGGGTAAAGGAAAGATACCCACACTAACTAAAAACCCAAGAGTGAGAGATCATATCCCAGTTAAACTAAATGTTAGTATTACATTTGTTAATAAGACAATATACTTGTAGAGTTCTTGCTTTGCACTGCTTCTATGTTAGTAAATTAGTTATCTTGAGAAGACTTTCTGAGCATCTTCATTTCTTCAAAGAGCAATTTTCAGAGTCCTTCTGCCCTTACTTTGGCTTTCTGTCTCTAAAACCATACACAGTTTTCGTCGCACCCATAGCCGCTTCAGCCGCAGAGTCCTCGTCCGATCCAGAGGTTGCTGAGTCACTTGACTTGGTTTCTTCCTCCTTAGATTCTTCCCCCGTTCCCAGCTGATGTTACACTTCTAGTTACTCAGTGCTGGGAATTAGTTGCCAAGGAGGAATATTGGCCCTGTGCCTTCTCGTGAGGCTTCAGCCCGGCTGCCACCAGAAACATAGGTTTTGTTAGGTGGACCCATTGACCTTAGGCTGAAATCACACATGGGTCATCAAGGTCCAGGAGGACTGCACTGTGATCGTAAACGAGCCTTTCCGCGTGCTCATCGGACTGTCCAGAAAACTCTGACCAACCACATTCAGAATGTCTTTCTGCTTTTCACACGTGCAGACCGGCCACAGGGGAAGAACTGAAAAGCACTTGAAGGGGCGAGTGTGGATGAAATTTTAGCCTGCACTGCAGTCCTGTTAATTCTGAGGCTAAGACTGATCTTGCCTGTGCAAGATTAAGGAAAGTGTTTATAGAAGGATAGCTCTGGGTAGAAAACAGTAGATTTACAAGTTCATGACCAGTCCAAGAGAAACGGGGAAACTTTCTTTCTTTTCCCTTCCTTGTCCTCCCACTGCCATTCCTTCAGCCGCTGAGCTCTAATATACTCTTGATGATCTGGAAAAGGTTTTCCACTTAACTGGCCTGTTGCCTCTGTCTGATTAAGAATTAGGCACTGGAGATGTGTTGGCGGGCGGCAGCTGTTCTGAATTTAAAAGCCCTGTTGTGTAGTCTGAAAAGGGGAGGCCGTTAAAAAAAGGAAAGAACAGAAACCTACTACATTGTAGCCTTTCCTATTTATGTTCTCCTCAATGACTTCCAGATCATACTACTTAGTGTAATTTCAAAAAAACCAGAAATCCCGTTTTATAAATCAGAAGCAAGAGCTATCGGCTGTGCAAAGTCAAGCTGGGATCACCCCCCGTCAAAATGTTCTTGTGTGCTGCCTTTTCAGCTCCCAACTTTTAGAGGTTTAGCATAAAAAACCTTCCTCTCTCTTAAGAAGACGAAGAAGAAGAAGAAGAAGAAGAAGAAGAAGAAGAAGAAGAAGAAGAAGAAGAAGAAGAAGAAGAAGAAGAAGAAGAAATGCCTCGCCCTTTTGGATTTATGCCTCGCCCTTCACTACCCAAAGGTGTCTCAGAGCGGCTTACAAACTCCTTTCCCTTCCCCTCCCCACAACAGACACCCTGTGAGGTAGGTGGGGCTGAGAGAGCTCTGACAGAAACGGCTCTTTTTCAAGAACAGCTCTTATCAGAACTATGGCTTGCCCAAGGTCATCCAGCCAGGTGCAAGTGGAGGAGTGGGGAATCAAACCCGGTTCTCCCAGATTAGAGTAGGCTTACCAATTACTTACCTTGAATCGACGGGGGACACATACGTCTTGTCAGGAACATTCCCCCATGGAAAACAAATGCGCCGCACCATGCCGTCGCCCAGACGTGACGTCAGCACGCTGGGCAGAGCGACGCGTAGCGCTACATCCTGGCGACGGCGGTGCAACGCATATCGCTGTCCCCCGCGACAGGGATCCTGTGAAGACGTGCGGATCCCCCGCCACAGTTTGGCAGCCCTAAGGCAATATGGGGTGGTAGAAAAAAGGTAGCAAGAGTTCATTCTGAGCTACTGGCATTAAAGTTGTGAGCAGGTGATTTGGCTGCCGCATAAATTAGTTTGCTCTGGAGTCCTCCTTCCTGAGCTAAGACAAAAATGTGTGAGCCAGAGGCTAAAAAACTGTGAGCTAGCTCACACTAACTCAGCTTAGAGGCAGGGCTATTTTTGGGGAGGAATGCACAGGAACGGAGTTCCGGCTGGCTCCCAAGTTGGCCACGCCCAGCAGGAACCTATTAGCATAGGCCACACCCAACAGCAGAAACTCATTAGGATTGGCTACAATTAGGGGTGTGTGGCCTAACATGCAAAGGAGTTCCTGCTCCAAAAAAAAGCCCTGGGTTTTGTCAACAAACAAGGTAAAGAGAATAAGAAGCAAAAGGTGGGTGTGGCTGGGTGACCACACTTCTGGTAACACGGGGTGTGTGGCCTAATATGCGAATGAGCTGTGCTGTCGGGGGTGTGGCCTAATATGCTAATGATTTTGTGCTGTTGGGTGGGGCCTATTATGCTAATGAGCTTTTGCTGGGCTTTTTCTACAAAAAAAGCCCTGCTTAGAGGGAACGCTGGACACCACCAAGGAAGTCCAGGGTTGCGATTCAGAGGCAGGCAATGGCAAACCACCTCTTGCCTCAAAAACCTTATGGAGTTGCCTTAAGTTGACTGCGACTTGACGGCACCCTCCATCTTCTCTGCTCCTTACGGAAGTGCTGCTGACCAGACCAGACAAGTGTGGTGTTGGACTAAGAAGCTCGCTGATAGCTTTGGACCGGTTATGCTTCCTCAGCCTACGCTGCCTCAGAGAGTGGTTGCAGTGAGGATAAAAAAGGAACATGTAACATATAATAGGAGCTGCGGTGGCTCAAGTGGTTAAGACGCTGAACTGCAGGCTGTGGAAGGTCGGTAGTTCGGCAGTTTGAGACCTGAGTGTGCCGCATGACGGAGTGAGCTCCCGTCTCTAGTTCCAGCTCCTGCCAACCTAGCAGTTAGAAAGCAAGAAATTGCAAGTAGATAAATAGGGACCACTTCAGTGGGAAGGTAACAGCGTTCCGTGCGCCTTGGTGTTTAGTCATGCCGGCCACATGACCACGGAAACGTCTTCGGACAGCGCTGGCTCTTCGGCTTTGAAACGGAGATGAGCACCGCAGCCCTAGAGTCGGATTCGACTGGCTTTCGAGCAAGCGAACCTTTACCTTTAACATATAATGGCTAGGTTGGAAGTACTGAGCTAGATGGATGGGCTCCGTGGCATGAGCTTTGGCTGTAGAACATCCCGGTTGAAGGACTGTAGGAGGGCTGGAGAGCCACTGGACCATGCGTAGGTCCAGGCAGAGCAGGTGCTTTGCGTGCAGCCCGTTCCAGGTTCAGTCCCTGAAATCCCAGCATGTGTCAGGGAAGACCTGAGCTGCTGCCAGTAGGAGTAGCTACACAGGCTGATGATCTGACTCAGTGGCAGAGCATAGACTTTACATGCAGAAGGTCCCAGGGAGTCCGGTCTTAAGGGTTTTCTAGTAAGAGCCCTGGGAGAGACCTCAACCCAAATCCTTGGAGAGCTGCTGCTAGTCCGTATGAATGGTGTGCCGGATGAACCAGTGTCCTGACCAGTGTTCCCTCTAAGCTAGCTCACAGTTTTTGAGCCTCCGGCTCACACATTTTTGTCTTGACTCAGGAAGGATGGCTCCAGAGCAAACTAGTTTATCCAGCAGCCAAATCTCTTGCTCACAACTTTAATGCCAGTAGCTCACAAAGCAGAATTTTTGCTCACAAGGCTCCACAGCTTAGAGGGAGCATAGGTCCTGAGGATATCTGCCTCTCCCCCCCCCCCCTTTTGTGTGGCCTCTGCTACTCTGTAACTTTTGTGGTTTCCTACAGAGGTTCTTCCCCTCTTTTCATTATTTTTCTTTTTGGTTAAAAGGCAGACAATACATTGACTAAGAAAACTCACTATCTGGACAACAGGCCTCCTACCAAGTATTATTATAAACAGGTCAAGACCAGTGTTCCCTCTAAGCTGAGTTAGTTTGAGCTAGCTCACAGTTTTTTAGCCTCCAGCTCACGCATTTTTGTCTTCGCTCAGGAAGGATGGCCCCAGAGCAGACTAATTTATGCAGCAGCCAGATCACTCACTCATAACTTTAATGTCAGGAGCTCACAAAAGTAGAATGTTTGCTCACAAGACCCCACAGCTTAGAGGGAACATTGGTCCTGACTCCAGGAAAGTCAGCTTCAAAAAGGCCACAGAATATCTGGCTTGGACACACCTGTTTTGCCCATAATAGCTACGAATGGAAACCTCCATATTCAGGGCAGTCTACCTCTGGCTGCCAGATGCTCGGAGTTTCACAGTTTATTCGAGGAAGCTCAGTTGAACTGATGGCCTGTAGATTCAAGATAGGCACAAAGTAAGTACTTTGCAGAATGAAGAATTAGGAAGTTCACTGCCACAAGCTGTGGTGACAGTTACTGGCTTTAGATGGCTGTAAA